AACTGAGGGGAAAGGATGGCGCAAAAGTTTCGTTTGCTGAAGTAATGGGCTGCTACAGCGCTATCGAGCAAGGATTTAAGGCAGAGGCCACCGGGGCAGAGGACGTTTGTGCGCAAGTCTTTCTTGATTTCCACCCCGTGAGTCACTTTCACTAATCCAAGATTCTTTGATTGAGTGTTACGAAAACATCGACGACCAATCAAAACAATTAAAAGAAAATATCACAGGGAGCCAGAAGTATATCAAAATAAACGCATATGACATTTCTAAATCGCGAAAAATGTCTATGGTTGAGCCGCGACTAGGTTTAATTTTGCGTATGTTTGGCGTTAGTTTTCCAGATCAATTTTAGAATCAAGAAATGAAAAAAAATGCAATTAATTGAGGTACTAACATGAAATCTGCCCTGAATCGACACCTTTTCTTCTAGGAACTAGACACGACGAGAGAGAAGGACGTTGTAGCGGGGTTAAATTATTGATTAGGGTCTATGTATATTTCATGATCATCACTAATGCTCTCTTAATCTATACGGCTCCGGCGTTGAATTGAAAATTGATTTCATTTTATTAACTACGAGCTTTATATTACATCACGCATGTTCAGATCTTAGCGATTTTTGCTTAACTTTATTTGCTTTCTTTAATGCAGGAGCTGCAAAATGAGATGGAGAAGCACATGGAACATTTGCAGCAACTCAAGGATTTTGACGAGAACCTGGCGTACGAAAAAGAAGCGAGGGCACAAGAAATGGAACAAAGAAAGAGAGTTGAGGTATAAAAAACAAGCAGATAAACTCAGCAAAAATGAAAAAAAAAGCTGAAAAAGATAAACAATGAAGAAAAAGAAAGCCGCTAAGTGCCATTGACAAAATAAATCGTACTCACTTGAAGCATGTGATAAAAAAAGCGTTCCTTGGACTGTACCATATGAAGCTTTGCTCATTAATCTATCTGCGTATATGTAGTTGTTAATTCATTATCATCATCTTGTGTCTTTGATGTTTAGGAGGAGAAGGCACGTCTGGAAGAGGAACGAATTAGAAAGGAGAAGGAGGTGTGCTCAATTTTTTTCTCTGTAGTAAACTGTGAGGAGAAAAAATTGAAACGTTAGCGTGTTGTTGAGACTTCGTTTTGGTTTTCCTCGAAGGAGAGGGGTCAAGAAGACCCAATGACTCTTCTCTCAATGGCTACGTTGCTCGCTTCCAATCAAACCCACAAATACTTATAATGACTTGATATAGTGCAGACAAAGAACAATTCAAATAGCTTTGTGTTTCTGTTTTTGAGCGTCATGTGGTTGCTAAAAAGGTAATGTTCTCTCACGAGCTTTTTGCTTTTTGCAAAACGTCTGTTACTGGAGTTGTCTGCAAGGCCAAGCTATGCTTAGAAACGTCCCTTTAAATTAAAACTGTCTTTCGCGACTTTTTGCTTAAAACTTAACCATTTCATAACAATGCTGCGTATTGCATAGGGGTAAAGTTTAGAAGCGATCCATTAATTGTCATTTCATTAACTGGTCTATTTTCTTCAATTTAGATGGAGCTTTTAAAAGTGAAACAAGAGGAAGATAGACGACGCCTGGAAGAACAACTGAGATCCGACATGGAAGATCAGAGGGAGCAAATGCAGAACATGATGAGAGCAAACATGGAGCAGTTGCACAGAGAAAGACAAAACGTCGTGGATCAGAACAAGACACTGCAGGAGGCTCTGTCGGGCATGCAACGCTCGATGAATGAAAGAAATGATCAGATAAAAAATCTTCAAAGGCAGATTCAACAAATTGCAAGCAGACCACCACCATCACCACCCAAAAAAAAGAAGGGATGTGTTGTCATGTAAACAAAATCTGCAGCATGATTAGATTAACATGTACGGGTGATGGAAAAAAAAGTTTTTTAACCCTTGATAAACTTCGTCTGGAACTTTTTATTAGTAGAGAAACAGAAATAAGTTTTGGAAGAGGAAGAATATGCTGTATTTAGCCGTTGAGATAGTGCACTATACATCCCGTTTTCAACTATTTTAAGATAGCTCTCTCCATAATGATTTTGGGACATCTTTACTGATTGTCCGTCTGCGCAAACGAATAAAGAAATAACCAGAGTTTAGAATTATGGCATTCGTTATAAAGCTTGTCAGTATGAAAGGATTTGACAACCTAGTATGTTCATCCTCTCTTGGAGAGCGTATCACTCCTTTCCCAGCTACAAAGGAAAAAAATCAAATTCGGGCCTGAATGGGGTTTGAACCCTTGACCTCTGCGATACCGGCGTAGCAATCTACCAACTGAGCCAATAAGCCAACTGGGAGCTGGTCATTAGGCAGTTCACATATATGATTTTCATATATTTATGGTCATTTATTCATCTTCTTAGCTCTGTTAGTAGAACATTGCATCGGTATCGCAGAGGTCATGGATTCAAACCCCGTACAGGCCTGAATGTTTTTCAGGCCTTATTTTCACTACTGCTCAAGTAGTGTTCACTACTGCGAGGACCACTTTCATATCCACGTCTTTATCCGCAGTTCATATCTATAATTTTCATATATTAACAATCAAAAAAAAAAAAACAAAGCAAAACAAAACAGAGAGAAAAAACAAAAAAGTGATGCTCTCCCTTAGTATTTTTCATTACTGTAGTGATGGCGTTCTACAAGATCATGGAATTAACACTCCCTTGAACTATAGCAATAGATCACGAGTAAAGCCTGTTGAGAAGTAAGATTTATGAAGTCTTGACTGTTTTTACGTGCCTCATGCACATTTTGTTGAGTTCAACAAAAAAAAAAGCTAACCTTAGTTTGTGCTTGGTACGTTTTATTACTCGCTCGAAGTGGCGTTTGTCTCTTTAGTAAAAAAAAATACTTTGTCATCGAAACAGATCTTAACTAAAGCCTGCTGTGAGGTTAGTTGATTTAGAGAATCTATATTGCTCGTACGTGCTACTATGCATTTGTGCGTTTTTCAGTCTAATACTGAGTTAAGATCAACTTGGTAATCATTCGTGTGAACGAATACCCATAGACGGTAATATTGTTTAACGATGAAATTGGTTCCATTGAAAGTAACCGTGTAAGCAACATTTTTCATTTGCAAAAATAAAAGAGTGAGAAATACATGATATTATGCAACGCGGAATTATTTGTAGTTTTTTTTTTTATATCGCAGACTACTCGAGCGCAAAGCTTTAAGAGGTATTCCTGCAGTGTTTAAATAACACTGGAATCGCAATATAACCTCTTCCCCTTCACCTCAATAATAAGTGGTGTGCATTGATAAGGTTAATAAAGTTGGCATAAGATAAAACTGACTATGAGGAGAATGGATTAGATAGCTCTAGTATTCTTGATTTTATCATGCATTTACCCAAATGTCTCTTTCCTAATTGGTCAATGAGGATTGCACGACAAGAGTGATAGACAATAAGCATAATTGGCAGGCCCGATTAGTATTCTTTTGTACTCACATAAATTAGCTTAACTAGAGTCTCGTCTTTGAGTTAAAACGTTGTTCCTTAGACATACTGACGAGGCTACCTGAGCTAATCTTCATGAATACAAAACCGGAATACTAATCGTGTCCGCCATTTTTGTAAAGGGTTCTATGAGCAGGGTTGTCATAGATGACACCTACTGTACAATCTTCTCAAGCTTTTCACGAAGATCAAACGTTTTTTCGAGGAACATTAATTTTGGTTTGAGCTAGTTTTTTCACTTGACCAAATTCATTCACACTCATCCACTGAGTATGGCAATGCCATGTGGTACATTTTACAAGTGTTACAAAAACTTATTTTCATCATTAGTAAACAGCTCATAGAAACCAGCACGTCTAAACGTTGCATTCTTGATGTAATATAATCCGACTGAAGATTAACAACACCGTCTGCAGAACACTTAATTCATATTCATACCCTTGGGCAGCTACAAAGTATTCACGATTTCTAACATAAAGCAAATAAATCATGAAGTTACTTGAGTATTAATGATGTTGATAATGCACGTTTTGGAGCGATTATTACTTTCTGAAATAGAAAATTCTTTTTTTCAAGACGACGAACTTTTTTCTCGGGCATGGTTTGATGAAAGCGTAAAGATTAGTGCTTTTTTTTCTTTGAAAAAATCTGATCTTACTCAGTCAGACCTCATTTTTTCATCATTCGTGCAACCATTTGAACACTTGAGTGGTTTTATGTATTGAGTATTGGTTCATGATATTTTTGTTCTATTAATGTTGATACCCTATCAATTGATATTAATGACTTTTAACCTCAGTGACTTTATCAGTGTTAGCTTTAAAGTTTTTTTTTTAGTTTGTAGTTTTGCTCTTTTTTTGTGTGTTGCTTTGTTTTGCTTTGTTGTTGTTCTTTTTTTTTTTTTCGCGTTACCACGAATTAAGCCATTTGGCGATTCCACAGGGAACGAACAAAATAAGAAAATATTGCCGGGGTAGCAAATGAATTTTGATATATTTAGATTTAAAGATTGGAATGAAAATAAAGGAGATAGATTTATTTAACCTACCGGCAGTAAAAGACAAGCATGTGATTTATAAAAAGTGCTCAGTTACAGTGAAACCTGCCTATTCTTTCGCTAAGGTTTGCGTGGTGATAGAAAGTGCAAGTCGCTCCATGTATATCTATTTTATTCATGAACCAGATCTCGTCTTCCTAATATTTAACTATTGCATGGGCGGTCTGGTATAAATGATGCTACATTACCATCATTTCACGCTGTTACTAACTATTACTTTCATAATGACGTCTGCCCAGCAGGAAACAACAAACTAGAATAATATAAGTCATTTCATTGCCAACTTTATTTGATGTTGTTTTTCAGTATGAGGCCACCGTTACATTAAGATCACTATCAAAAACAGCAAAGAATTATTGTTGTTAACATAGTTCTCAATTTCTTTACAGTATATCTATATAAATTAGATAGTTTTATGCATTCTCTATCATTAATAGACTTTGTAGTCAATATATACAGCTTTCATTTTATGTTAAAGAATTTCTTGATTGCATCCATCACTTCTCTCATGCGGCATATATAAACCAGCGGATGCAGGGCCGATGTAAAAAAGATAAATGTTACCGTAAGGGTGTACATAATTTTAGCATGTTCTACCCCTTCTGTACAAACGTAAGCTTTACAAAAGCTGACGAAAACAACCGGGACATAACAAGCAATGATAAGAGCAACAATGAATGCCACGGTGCACGCATACTTTTTGAGGCGACAAAAATCATAGAGGCTTCTCTGAGAACCACGGCGATCGCAGACAGTCAGTTGGTCTATTTGGATCTGATGACGTCGCACTAGTACAAGTATTTTTATGTAGACTGTTACGATAACGAAGAGACAAAGCAGTTTAGAAGCCTTGATGATGAAAAGAAAAGTCTTCGGGTCTAACCATAATTTTGTTACAGTTATCGAGAGAGACAGAATCCACGAGAATAACACTGCTCCTGTGATACGCCTGTTGGTGATGACTTCCTTATATCGAAGGTGAAGGTGAAGCGATAAATATCGATCAATAGTCATAAAAGTCAGTATGACGAATGACGCACTAAGCGTTGTTTGTGAAGTAAAGTCGTAAGCCGAACGCAGAACACAATAAGATTCAAAATTTCTTGTGATCTCTGCTATTTTGAAAGCAACAAAAGCTGGCGCTGCCAAAAATCCCAACAGGAAGTCACAAAAGGCGAACCATCCAAGGAGAATATTCGCTGGCTTGTGAAGTGATTTGGTTTTACAGAGAACGGCCACAATAAGAAGGTTTCCAAACGATGAAAATATAGCAAATGAAGAGTTTAAAACACACGCGATAACATTTACGATGAGTGTGGCCGAAGACTCGAAGATGGGAGCGGTGAAGTAGAAACAAGTCACCGAGGAAACTGTGTGCGTTTGATCCTGATTAAGCAAAGAGGAACTGGAGGCGTTCATCGCATTATCTTCCCACGAACAGCACTATTCGATATGATTACCAAAGGAAAACTCCAGATTTCAAAACTACTTAGCTACCTTTATAAAATGCAGTCCTGCATATTGGTCTCAAAGTGAATGTTGTCCATATAATAGATTTCTCCCAAATCACGAAGTGCCTCTTGACGACATTGATTTATGGAATAAGAACTAATCCGTTTCACTCGGTCAGTTAATTATAAACAGGTGATTCGAGAACTCGTTTACGTAAGTTTTGATATTGTTTCTGGCTTAACCTGCTTCTTTTCAAGGAACTTTTACCACACGATTAGGAACATTAGTTTAATAGCTGTGACGAGAAATGATGGTTTTTGAGGTTTAGAGAGTTCTATTAATAAAATCGATATTTCTCAAATACGAAATAATTTTCTCCTTCAATGAGTGAGTTGCCAGTAATCGGATCCTTGAGTTTGTGCAAAGGTTTTTGGGATCGCCACGGGGCAAACATTGCTGCTCGCTGGAAACATTGCAGCTTGCTGGAAAGAATGTGTGGCGAAAGGTTGTTTTGACATCCGAATAAAACGTTTTGGCGAGATATTATCGCTTTTTCACTGCAGTTTTGTCATAGAAGGATAAAGACAATCTTAATACGAGGAAAGTGTGAGTTTTTGTTAGAATTACCACGAAATATGTTATAAAACGTACCAATTAACTTCTCTCCTTGCGTAAGGTCTATTGTGAAATCGTCATCGCGTAATGGTCTTGACATAAATTATTACAAAATTGGGCATAAATCGCTAGGAAACAACTCATTTAAGTCTTCTCAGTTGTATTTATATATGTACAGCCTGTTTTCATACTTGTTAACGTATTAAATAAACGAATTACGACGTTATAAAATATACCTCCAGAAAGGAGAGAAGTCGTTGTCAGCAGGGATGAAAATTTTTTTTTTTACCAAGCTGCTGCTCTCTGAAAGGACAAGATAAACGATGAAAATCATAAGGAAATCCCCAGGTCAGGAGATAGTTTGTTAGAGAAAATCCAAAGGTCTTTGATTTGCAACTTTCTTCTCGAACTCCTTAAAGGATCTTGTCAGGAAAAGCAAGATCACGGTAACTCCGACAGAAACTGTGGATATATGAAGCGACACATTTGTACCTACTTATCGTCAGGGTTCAGTTTTGAGCCGGTTATCAGCGTTGGTTCGTTCTCATTGATCACAATAGAGAAGCAGGTGCTTAATGACTTTAATGAACGACGATAATATTTAACGCCCAAGCACACCGCTCAATCTCCTGCTGCCTCGAGGTGGCTGTTGTAGTAATTTTTTGCATTACCAAGCTAAGCAAGGAGCTAGAGGAAGACTTAACACACGTCCAAAAAATGAAAAGGCTTTTTTGATTTATTTCTCTGCGATTTATATTAGTTTTTTTAAATTTCGAGACCTTAACGTGATGTCAAATTCGCAATAAATCTTGCGCGTAGAGACAAGTTTATCGGTAGATTCTACTACATATTTCATGGTTGATCAAACAATTCGAAAAACTTACGCTTCTCTTGTATCAGCATTACCTAAATCCATTTCTGATAAAAAGGTGGCAAAAAAAGGAATAATCTCTCTCCAAAATCGTTTCTTTGGACGTAGGAACAAATTCTCGCCATACTTTCCAGTGAGTTGCAATGTTTGCCCCGTAGCGATTCCAGAAATCTGTGCGTAAACACAAGGATCGGATCGGATTACTTTCAACTCATTCATTACAGCGCAACAAAAGTCGAGCACTTAACAGAAAACAATTGCTTGGCAAGGTTGTTGAATTATTTTTCCTCAACAAGGAGTAAAATCAATTTGGTGAAAAAAATTCATTTTTTCCCCAACGAGACGTGGGAAGTGGCTTGCGACGGAAGAGCATCCTTGCAGCACAAGTCTGACAAAAAAATATGTAATGTAATTAGTTCGACTAAACAATTTCATTTAATTTATTTTAAATTATTGAAATTCATTTATTTAGTTTATCTCAAAGTTCTTTTATTTATGTTTTCCCCGGAAGGGACTAGCATTTACTGCAGTAGATTAATATTTTTACATCCGCAAACTTGTTACACGATATCATAAACAAGGGCATTATCACTTATGCATATGAATTAAGTGTCAAGAAGGATGTTGTGTACAGCACAAAAATCGTACCTCTTCTTTCAGGTAGAACAAGGGAAAGCAAAACGAAGAAGAAAGGAAAAGTAAACGAAACTTTATTGTCAGGTTTAAGTTTACTGCCTGTGTGAAGAAATTTTCTTAGTCTTCGTTGAACCACCCTGAAATAGATATGGCGACATGAAAATTTTCCCACGGGATGAAAAAAAAAGGGTGTTTACTTTAGTCATGATTTTTGAGCTACAAAATTCAGTTCAGGCTCAAGCTGAAAGTTCTGGAATTTTGGTCATATGGTTGGATGAAATAAATTTATCAAATTTATTAAATTATTATTATACCTTTTAAAATTGATTATTTCTGCGTGAGTCAATTGTACAGCAAGCAGGCACGCTGACCTGTTGTGAACAAATATAGGTGCATCCGGCTGGCGAGTAGAATTTCGTTGTTATTGTCATAAAGCTGGCAGTTTCAAGTTCAATTTCAAAATGTAAGGATAGTGAAGAAGGACTTATGGAGCTTTTACGACGGCCAAAAACGTACAGTGTGGGCAGACACTGAGAAAATTCGTTTGAATCATCTTCATATTGTTGCCTTCTGCAAATGACCAATGTTCAAATTAGAATACTTGTTGGGCAAGAATCCTTTAGGAAAAAAGCTATCGTGAATGAAACGAATATTGAACAATCCATTTTGATACAAAAGTTCACTTTTACACCAAAGCATAGCAAAGCAAAGTATACTTTGCTCTCTAGGAATAATACAAAAACAGGCTCTTCATGAACGTAGAATGAATTATGACACCATTTGTCGTATCGTTAATGGTGACTTTATCAATAAAGTTGCCATTTTTTTATTATTTACATCCTGTGTTACATTCTTATCGACTCACACGTTTACTTATGTTGGCCTCTCAAAACAAAAGCAATATTGGTGTATTTAATTTAGGTACTGTGTTCTTTTTTCGTTGTTGTCGTTTTTTTATGTGTGTGTGTCGAACTCTTCTAGATGGGATCTTTAATTCGTCGATACGTAGGTATCTAAAGAAGAGAATTTTCGTTTTGGGAGACGTATTTTACATATCCGTTGTTGACATGACGTAAAGGTATTTTAAATGTGTGACTGAAATAGACATTACACCTCAGACAACAATATCATTGTATGAAACAGGCGAAGGGCAATATCGATGACGATTTGGGTTAAGTTTCTCATAATTAACAGTTGCTGCATTGGATGTAAAAAATGAATCTGTCTCGAATTCATCTGTGTGTAGTTTCACTGATTGTTTTTAAAATTGGTAAATAAATAAAGACACTCAAAGTCTGGGACTGAAATCGTTGCCCCTCGCAAGACATTACAGCGTTTTAAAATATCACCTAACGGAACGATCGAACGACAATATCATTGAAGAGTTCCGTTGGCAATTGTTGCAGTATCAATCATTGAAAAAAAAATACACCTGTCTGGAATGATTTTATATTTTGATAGTGATTGTCTCATTTGCCGCCTTTCAAAAATGTGAGTTACCTTGTTTTTGGCGAGAAACCGCTCGAAGTTGGTCATCACTGACAAGTAGGAATTATTGCGAGCTAAGAGACTAAACTGGTCCTACTCCAGGGGAAGATGGTCTACCTCGAGTCATTTTTTTGAATTCAAAGTATCCAGCAACCGAGTGAACCAAATTTAAGACTCAAAGAGGCTTTTTTAAACCGAAACTGTGAGTGCACTAAACATCATTTTATAGGAATCTTTTTGCATTTGAACCAACATGGAGGAATGAAATATCTCAATTTAATCCTCTCTTGTTCCAGAAAATTAAAAGTGGACTTAAATTTAAAAATCCCAACGTAGTCCTTAGTCCTAATGATATAATTATCATATTTCATGACTTAAACTTCATTTCTTTTTGCGCACTTCTTTTCTTCTTCCCGCTGCTTGTTGGATTACGATGTCTAAAAAACAGTCACCTTCCTTATTTTCTCAAATACCTTTAATTTTTTGAGGAAGAAGCTCTATCGCACTGCACCTATACATTTTTGTCGGTTTTTAAGATTCAGCCGTCAAGCATAATATTTATCTGACGAATTGAAATTAGCTGAACCCATCTTATCCCCCCTCTCCTCCTTTGTTAATTTGATTTTAATATGTTACCAGGCCTGCTGGTAGACAGAGGTATTTAGTAATATTTGAAAAACGTTTAAGGAGCTACATAGGGTTTTTGACCGCGCGAGATTTGGGTGCGAACATAGGGCGAGCGTCAACATGCAAAACAAACATGGCGGCTCGATGCGATCCGGCCATTGTCATCTGAAAAGGTGCGTGAAAAACACTTTAACTCTATACAGTTTTTATGTAATAAAATCCAGGGTTTCCAGAAATTTCTACCGAAATATTCATAAGCCTTCTACACCCGAAAAAGAGGTCAACCGAGAAGAAAACACCGTGGGAAAGATTGCCAAAAGACTACAGATTCGAAAGTCTACGCATGCTTAGATACCAATCTCAACGAAGTTCTATCCCATTACGTAATGTTTTGCGACAAAGAAAATAGGGTTCTTTCGAGTAAGATTTATCGCGTCTCCTTCGTTGGAATTCCTAACGCTAATTATCACTCGCGAGCGCCTCCCTTCGTGGAGCCTTAGCTTAATGACGAGAATCATTTTGATTTTATTGTTACTACAGCAAACGATACTCCGAACCTTGGTTATTACCTTTTGGCGCCCGCCAACATTGAGCAAAAAGCCTATGGAGCCTCCTTAAATGCAACTATCGGCATTGTTAGTGTCATAAGGCTGAGTCTTAAGGCTGATTAAAAAAAGAAATCGAAAAAGAAAAGGTCCGTAGAGGCTTGGTTGGCTACACAGAATTTAAGCTGGTATAGCATGATTAAACTAGCTGGTATTTTTAAAGAAAAAAAAGAAACCTTCCCCACACAAAGTGTAGTTGCTTTTTCACAAACACCAAACATTCTCAAACGGTTTGAAATTGATAAATCTCACGCCTCATCATACGTTTTCAGCAGCGTGCAGTTTACTAGGAGAATATTTTCCCTTTTTATGCATCAGAAATAAATCAGCTCTCCTCCTTGCCAGTCGTCTATGCCCTGTTGCACCATAGCTGCTCTTCAACTGGCTTTCACCATATATGATGTTTAAATTCACCGCTGAGCAGGAGTTGACGAGATTGGAGACAGATGTCAGAGTGATCCCTGCCGCGTTTCTGACCCGCATGTTGCCCCTGGAACTCAAAGAACCGCTGCGGAAGACATTAAGGATAGCTCTACGGAAGTCTTGCATTCGAAATGAATACACAAGGGTGTTTACGAACGAATTACTATACTGAAGTAATTTTATGACATAAACGAGCCTGTGAGATGGGTTTTTGCAATAGTGGCAAAAATGGACAATTATAATGATAACCTCAAAAGGCATCCAAGTCACGATGAAAATTCCTGTGATAAGAAACAACGTTATAGCGAGCCTTTTGTCTTTTTCAACCCCTCTTCGACGTCGTCTTCGATACTTGATCCGGAGCCACAAAGCACTGTAGGCAGAGCAAGCCACTGTAAGCGACACGGACAAAGATGCAACGGTTACTGTGTGAACGACGCCTGAGATGAACTTAAATCGAAAAAACAAATAGAGGCAGCAGATGGCCACTGCCAGGATCCAGGTGCCCGATACGGCAACTATGTAACACTTCAGCGGAGTATAATGACGATACTTCCACGGCCAACCAACGGCATACAGTCTCTCGACAGATACGACTGCTAAGGTGAAAACAGACGCCATGCCAGAGACAATATCGCAACTGTAATAAACGGCTTGAATAACTTCACTTGTACTCCACAAATCTGGATTTACAAAATGGAAGATATAAAGTGGCATTGCCAGTGCCCCAACCATCAAATCAGCCACCGCAAGGGAGATGAGAAAATAGTGGGTTGGTCGTCGGTTAAGGCTTGTTTTTGTAAAAGCTGCAATAGTCACAGAGTTTCCAATGATTATGGTCAGCGCAATCAAACCAAAGGCTGCGGTTAACGCGATAGACTCTGCCTTGGTAAGGGGTGTCTCCGTATCCTTGGAGCTTGGCATCTCTGCACTGAAAAGGGGAGAAAAATACAAAAACAAAGATTAAAAAATAGAAAATGGAAAACATAAATCAATTAGCCATTAGGAATTTCCCGATTTAACTCTTCAGAACTTTTTTTTCTCAATAAACTTTTGGGTCATTAGGTTTCCCTTTTTGACCTTAATTTATGCGAGTTGCAACATACGGAGTGGACTCTATTATACTTCATAACCAAGGCCTCTGAGACCTCATGCGGCTAGGTTTCCTTGGAGACCCTGAGCCAGTATTTAAAATGAACTATTCATCAAAAAAATCCAAATTTCATAAAACATTTTTTTAAAGTGGAACTTCCATTAAAAGCCACCTTTCTATAACGGCCACCACTGCGTTTCCTAACAAGTCACCAAAAACTATTAGAATCACGCCACCCCCTTTTTTTTTTTTTTTTTGTTTTTTTGATAAATATTTTTACACTAAACTTTAATTCACGCTTTCTCTGCTATTGCTACATTATAACTGAATCGTTCGCATAATTACAAACCGAAGCAAGCCTTAATTTTTTTTCGATAAGGATACGCCAGCTTAAAAAGTGACACTTATTCATGGCAAAATCTTTCGTCTGTGCCCTATATGTGGACGGCTGTCGTGGAGAACAGCAGACTTAATTAATTTTCACGACTTGAAATTTTTCAATTTTCATATTGTATAATGAGCAATGAAAACAACGCCAATGTACGTATGTGACCACACTGAAATGTTCTCAGCAGTCAACGAAGCCCAGGCTTTCAAGGGAAGCTTTTAACAACCTTACCACACGAATATTTTCGCAACATCCTAGCTTGCATTAGAGCACGCTTTCATGTGGGTTATCATTGAGATTCAGTCTTGTTGGAAGGCGTAAAAGGTTAAGCAATCGCTACACTTCTTTGCCTTTACAAAAAAGCAACAACAAAATTTGTGAGGTTGGTCTAACATGTTTTTAACCAAAATTTCCCTCGACCGATCATTGACAGCTGCTTTTAGCAAAGTGCATAAAATCTCAATTTTAGAAATTTTAAAATAATCCTACAGGATGTATATATCATATGATATTTTATTTGACTTGAATTTTTAAAAGAATATTCTGTCATCCTTGTAGCTTGCTTTGCAATCAGGTTGAAGGATTTTCTCTCCTCTTTTATCCCAATAGTATTCAGGAGACATTAACACGCCCGTTTTTCACATTTATCTCTTATGATGAATAAATTTCTCTCTAAGAGCGTAAAGTTACATTCAAATGTAAACTAAGGACTTCTGCGAGACAAAACACATGTAAAATACTCACAGGCTGCTTTTTTTTCCGCTGTGGTTTGGATGACGCTTGTCTATTGCTCCAAGCTAACTTGTTGTTGCGGTGAGAAACTTATGAATTAATGAGGAAAATAAATAAACCATCAGACAGGTTTGTGAAAAAAAACTGTTGACTTTAAACCTGATCACACCTTTGTCTTTGCAGAGTGAAATTTTCAGCTTGGATAAAAACCAGAGAAATGCTGGAAACCGCGTTTTGCAATGCGATATGGGTTGGTCTCAACAGCCAATTCCTGAGCCAGCTGGTTCTCTTGTTTTTTTTTTTTTTTTTCTCCTTTTTTACCATCGAAACCTTTTAAACGTCTTGGTTTGTAAACTAACATAACAAAAGGTAATGAATGGTGTCGTTTTTTTAAATTTCATTTGCATTTTAATTAAATGCATTTTAATTAAAAGTATTCTCCGACGATCATCGTTGAATTTTCACCAAGCCGAAGCATAAGTGGGTCTCTTTAGACTTTCATCATTTGGAATTTCTCGAAACTGAACTTCAAAGAAGATGCATTTCAGAATATAAAGTCAGTATTCCAAGAATCAGTGCCAACAAACATGAATGAAAATGAATTTAAATGATATAGGGAAAACTGGGAATATTGCCTTTGCGTTGACTCTGTGACAATTTATGTAAGCAGAAGAAACTGAATGAAATGTTATAAACTTAAATTTGCCTTGAATTACTGAGTATTTTATTTCAAAATCAGCCAGTTTAAACCAAAAAGCGATTGCTTTACGGTTTTGTCCCGGATTTCACAGAATAATGTGAACTGATTTGAACACCAAAATTCAAAGGACGCAAATGTACATTATTTCAATGTGAAGGGAGTTTTAGCATTTCACACAGTCAGTGGAATAAAATTTTCCTAATCTTTAAAAGACTGCGTTCTAATGAAACTGTATTCTCATATTTGTAAGCATTCACTATATAAAGTATTGTCATTTCGCCTCTTTTACACAGAGAAAAAGTAAAAATACACATCATAGAGACTTATCTCAAACTTCTCTTCCAAAATAATTTCTTTTTCTGTAATTTTTCATACCGAAAATTGGAAGTTAAATCGAATAATGAATACGTTACCTTTGTCGCGGAAAATGATTGTGGGATTATTTACAAAGACTCTATATGTACAACTGATTCAGCTCTGTGGAAACCGAACGCTTAGTCTGGACATCTGAAAGCTCATATGATATAAAATATTGAAATTCAAATTTTTGGTAATTTTGTGACAGCGAAGAAAACGATAACTCTCTTGATGGGAAATAGTCGCCCACATTAATGAACAAACACTTCATTTCTATCTGTCAAAGCGGTAGAACAGAACCTAAATATGTTTAGTTTCTGAAATTTCACCATTCCAGAAGATAAACTTGTTCTAAATTGGTGTGATTTGTGTGGGCTGAAAAAAATACTTTAACATTTTAGAAAAGCAGTTTTAAGCTTGGTCAGAATTAGGAGAAACAATGGAAAAACAAAGCTATTTATTCAACCAACGCTTTTAGGAAGGAAGTAAGCGAATGCGTCGGTCCTCAACGAACGCTCAGATCGACATTGCCCGTTGTGAATACCCAATTATGTCAGTATCTTTTTGTATAATGACAGAAGCTTATGAATAACGTATGTACTCGGATATCAGCTTCGACGCAAGCTGAAGGACAGCGCACCTAAAAACCTTTCTCGTTGTCCAAACAAATCATTACAGGCATTCCTCAAAGAAACGATAAGGTAAAATAAGGCGCAGATAAAAATAACACTTTATCTAAATACGTGCGTCAGAGCTTTGATGTGGAAAAAGTGTCTAGAGACGGAAAAATCATTCCAGAAATAAATACTTGGACCTTAAAATCAATCAATCTCTGTCTTTGTTATATTAGACAGGAATTCGAACATTTTGCTGAGCGAAGGAAGTCTTAAGTATTGTCAGAACCTTTGAATAATTCATTTATAAGGTAATTTGTAATTGCCAAAGCCTTGAGAGCGACGTCAGTGTATCTGCCAATGAAGCTTCGGACGTTGCTACTGGGTAAGAAGCATCTGACCTTGATCTATGTAATAATATCTACTTCTCTGTGTGTGATTTCAAAGATATTTCTAACCAGAGGATGCGTAGGCTCCAAATTAACTTTACGAGCATTCCATTGATGACAAGACAATTGAAATGAAGTCAAAATAAAGTCAAGTTCGACAGGCCATCATTTATGTGCACACATGCGCAAAGCTCGAAACTGTTCTAATCGGGTTGATCCAAGTATGACGTCAGTACCGAGCATAATTTTTCTCTTGTCAAACAAAGAAGCCACGTGACAGTTCTAACATGGATAGGATTATTGCAATAGTTTTTCCTTTCAGAAGAAATAATAATTATATAATAAGTCCTTAGCATTTTGTTGAGATGAAATGTCTTTGTTAGCATAATACATAACACAATAGCATTTAATTCTAGATCTTTTCAGATTCCCCTAGGAGGGGAGAAAGATCAGAATAAAATGGGATGGAATTGATAAGAAGCAAGGCCTATATCGGGGAATCATTTTTATAGCATGCTCTAATGAAAGCAAATGATTTGCACGGCTTATTTTTTTTAGGTAACTTTCGTTTTAATTTGTTCTCATCTATGATTCTGTGATTCCCTTTTCGCTCTTATCAACAGGAGTGGAAAAACGACCGATATTTCTTAACTAATAATCACATTAAGACTATCACTCATCACTAAGAATTTGCTATCTATCTATCACAAATGCTGCAATCTCATTGGCTACTTTACTGGCCATTTACTTCGTAATAGGTGGCGATTAACCAAAAATTCTTGGTTGTAAACAAAGTAGGAAAAAAACACGAGCTTTTATGTTTTATTTCATACAAATCAAAAGCTCTTAACTATTTTTGTATATTTTTAGATAACATTATCCTTACAGTCTATAGGAGATCTGCAACGACCATATTTATGTTATTTAACCCCACGTAAACGAACATTAAAGGATACTGGGGTTAATTGTACATAAAAATTAATCTACAATATATCATTAACCACACAGGAACATAAACTCACTCCATCCAGCATTTCCGAGTCTGAATATCGAGCCAAGATTGTTATATTTTAAGAATATATGCAAAACACATGCGCCAATAAACATTTTGCCGGTGACCCTTTATGATATTTTTTCTCTCTTTTGTGCCACTTTTTTATGAATTCAGTGCGTTTATTCAAAAAGTGCCGACAATGTTGACACAGGTGAAGATTTATCGAAAAGTCTCATCTTTAGTGGATGTTTCTTCCATTTAAGTTAATGTAGACCTATAATGAAGTATCGTCAAAGCGGATAACGATACATTTTGTATTTCTTGAGATGACTCAGAGGAAGAGTTTTCTTTTAACTGTTTTTCTTTTCCGATAACATAATCATAGTCCGATTTAGCGGCTTTCAAACGAAACCGCCGGTGTGAGACTTTGTTTGTTTTTGGTCTTCTGATATATTTGCCCCTAACGGATTTAGGATTCAATATACTTTCATTTGCTGGCCGGATTTTGGACGAAGATTACTGGAAAATACTTTTATGTTATCTATTTAGATGACAAACGTAAAAGAGAATAAACAAAGCCGTTTGAATTTAACCTAGTATGCAGTTTCATTGCTTTCTTGTCTAACCTAAACTTCCTCAATTATTGTATTATTTGATTGTTGTCATGTATAAACTGTGAATCTAATACCTCCTAAAATATTCAAATGCCCAATTTATCCATCTAAAGAACTTAAATGCTTTCATGTGCTTAAATTCTGATTTCTTTCTTTGGGTGTGTTGTTACACCCCTTGAAAATTAAAGATGATTTTTGGTCTCAGTTTTTTTTTAATATTATGATTTTTATCTGAATTCAATGTCGGCTTATTTCTTGGTAGGCAGCTCCACAGTTTGCAAAACGACCACCTGTCTAGATTCAAAGCATACAAACTCTGTTGTCTTTCGAAATCAAATAGCAATCATTTCATGTCAGTAACTTGGCAACGATGCCATCTAAATGGATTTTTTAGTCCTCAAAGTAAACACTATTGCAAAACAAAAAAGCTGAATCGAATAGAAGAAATCAAATAATCGGGGTAACACGGTTGACCTTTACTTAGGCAAAACGGATGCTTTCAGATTTCTCTTGGAGTGGAGGTTTTTTAAGGACTACCATTTTATCGCGTTGGAAGTCAATTATTTAGCTTCCGATTGACTTTGAGGTACGTATGGACATTTAGTCTATTGAATACTATACTGAAAAATATTGCAGAAAGCGTATTCTTCGAATTAATTCTTTCTTACTCTTAAGAAGTAAATTGCTTTAAACTTAATGTATTTGGTTATTGCGAGTTTAATTATCTTATGTTAAGATCAATATGGATTTTAAAGGTACTTACAATGGATGTATTTAGTAATGATAATTTTCTTCTGTCATTGTGCTCGTAAAGTAATTAAATGGCAGACTTTAAGTAGCTTGACCGGTTGGCAGATTGTATAAAATCTTTTATCGTCCACTGTTTTTAAGTTTGATGGCGCCCTTCGCTTTAACACGTATATATTTTTCTTAGTCCTATTTTTAACTTTCGACGTACAAAACCAGGACTAGAGATTATTATTCAAGGAAGTTTTAAATCTGACCACTGGCAATTTTGAATTTTCTAATCTGATTCGATGTCAAAATATCACGTAGGGCCATGATAGTACAAATTACGGAAATCCGCTAAAATGCTGGATATCTTGAGAACTTCAAGGAGAAGATGTATAAAAGCTGAATAAATTTAAGGCTGCCGGGAATGGATATTCAATTCCTAACGCATAAGCCTATGTATCGTGAGCCAGCAAAGGCGCCCATCACTCACTGTATTAAGATAACTGTTTAAATTTTTTTTTGTCTTTTATACAGCCATTTCCGTATGGTCAAAATAACAGCTAATTTGGTTCACAAGGCTGTTTAATCTCTAAAAACTCAAATAAAAACGAGGGAATAAAAAAAAAGAATAAAACTCAATGTAGCGATTACGACATTTGGAAGCTTTATACAAACAGAAACTAAGTAGTCCGTAATGTTCACCATGCATCTTTCTTAACAAAAAGTGAACCGATTATGGATCTCGACATTCTATTCTGGTTTTTATATACTGATTTTCTTTTCCCCATCTTTCAACTCTTTTAGCTCTCTTCTTACCTTAATTCTAGAATCCCTCGTTTACCTCTTCCTGTTGCAAGTTGCTATAAAATTGGTTGACGGGAAAATGAAAACAATCTTAGTGCGATTTTAGTAAATCGAATCTTGATAAGTTTTGAATTCGTGACAAGTGCGTATGAAACGCTTTCCTCCTATAACTTTCGCAATGGTAGACAGCTGCAAGCAAATATAATTTGTTTTATCTTTAATGCATTTTAGGCGTCTTGCTGATCTTAAAGTCGTCTGAATTTCCGCCTATAATCCATTAAAACGACAAATGCATTCGTGGAGAAACCCAAGCATCTACTTTCTGAAACGTAAAAGTTTGGCCCTCTGAATTGTTTTTTTCCGTTGCAAAGCCCCCTGTTCGAGATTTCTGGCTTTTAAGTTACAAAAGGTCAAATGATTACCGACTAAATCATTTTTCACTCTTTCTTCACAGATTAAAATGTTTAAACTCCCGTAGAGAAGGGTTGAAAACCCTCCCTGGAACTGTCTGACTTTAATTGCCACTTTGGAAATGAAAACAATGTGCGTTTAATATTGATGTATGTTGCCTTTAAATCGTATGCGACACGTTATTCAAAGAGAAAAAAATGCGGTATTCTTAAGATTCGATATATTTTGAAGTTCTCTCTTTTGAACACTGAGTTTGTTTTATCCGCCAATAAATTGAAGATGAAATAGCGCGTAATGAAAGTATGTACAATCGGTAACCATGTTGCAATTGAATTCCCTTCCGAAATGTTTTTGTCATTTATTTGTTTAAGAGCTGAAGTGGATCACATCTCAGTAAAAGCAATTATGAATTATAAGTATTACAGCTAATACAAAACTGCAACAATATATATCAATAATTTCATGAGCCGTTACGTATCCTCAGCAAATTTGAAACCTAAGCGTTAAATATATGTACCAATCAAGAACAGAGATATATTTGTAAATTAATAATTATACGACTGTTTGCCATGCTGCTACACCAAACTCACTAACGCAGAGGTAACCGATGGGTTTTCATGCTGTAAAAATAAAATAACTTGTGATCCAAAAGAAACCACTCTTTCTATGACAGAGGTTATGCTGACGTATCACGGGTTTAAAATTAAACTGGTGGAAATCCTACCTACTCATTCCCAGTCGACAATTTATTTTAGTTAAAAAACAAAGGAAAGAACATAAAATGAACGGGGGGATAAAATATTTTGAAACAAATCATAAAATATTGAATCGATCCCACTGTCTTGCACATGAAGAAAAAAATGTAAAAGTGTCATTTTTGGAGCTGCAAAACTTTTGATCGTGATGTTTCCTAAGCTGCATAGTAAGTACGGACAGTTTTACGCAAACTTTGATCGTTCGCCTCAGAACTCTCACCGAAATGGCAAACTAAAGTAAACAACTACCACAAGGCAATTTAACTATCATGTTATGTAAGAAAGTGACCCAATAATACACACTGAAAATCACAATTAATTTATTATCTGACTAATGAATATTTTTTGGTTTTCTGTGTTTGTTTTTAGTTCGGTTGTTTTTGATATCTTTTCCATTACCACTCTTCAATAAAAGTAAATAAACATAGCATTTTGAATATGAAAACCTAATAATATAAGTCGTTAGGTACTTATGGTAATCTCACTTATGTGTAATATTTTCAAGCTTTCTCGACGGAAGCCGGCGAAGTGGTTGCTTTGGTGTAAGTTCATTAAACGGTGGCTGTGAGGCTTTCTTTCTTCCTTCAAAGTGTCAAAAAGCATGTTCTATTTAATAAGAACAAGATAGCATTTATTAAATTCGACTTCACTGCTACATGAATAAGTCTTTCGAGAATTCCCTGTTGAAATATCGGGGTTATTACTTGCAGAGAAACTTCTAAATTCAGTACAGTGATCTTGAGGTCTGTATCTCTACAATCGTGTTAAATTATCATATTTTGGAACCATGAATAAATTTTATTGCTCTTTTTTCAGACTCAATTCATCCCATATGGCAAGCTCTTTAGCAAACAGGACACAAGAAGTCATCTTTTCCAGGAGAGCAAACATTGCTTGGAGTACCATCTTTGGCTTTCTCGCTGTAATTATTGTGGCCGGTAATGCTTTAACAATTGCAGCGTTTACAGCCAGGCGACTTGTTCGTAGACGTGCTGTTTTCTTTCTGATCAGCTTAGCTATGGCTGATATGACGGTTGGAGCAGTTGCCATACCGCTTTACATCTATTTGAGCATTCAGAAAACCTTAACAAAGAGAGCTGTCCATCACATCTATGAAGCAGTGGACATCCTGTCCGGATTGGCCTCTGTGTTCACATTGGCACTGATTTCTGTTGAAAGGCTGTTCGCCATTGGGTGGCCTTTGTTTCACCGCACCCTACGTAAACGAGCCTACTTTTATTTTGTGGGTCTGGCATGGATTTCTGCCCTAATCATATCCATCATAGACTTGCTTTATCACTACAACATCGTGTCTTACCTCGCTACTCTGGACATTGTTCTCACTGCTCTGTGTACTTCGTTTGTAGTTACTTGCGCTGCATATTTGGGTCTGTTTGTTAAGGTTCGTTCTCGAGATTATAGTGTAGTTGGGAGGGAACAGGACAAGAGACTAGCAAAGACACTATTCCTTGTAACTGGAATGTTTATGGTCACATGGCTGCCTTTTCAGTGCCTTCTGTATGTGGTACACTTTTGCAAGACATGCCCCTTCCCTTCTCAAAATACAGTGAACTTCATTAAACTATTACAATATTTCAATTCCTTTATAAATACGGTTATTTACTCACTTAGAATGCCTGAATTCAGGAAGGCAATTTCTGAGGCTTTTAAAGGTAGAATAAGTCATAATCCTAACAAAGATAAGAATATTTACCTCAAAAACCTTCAAGGAGACACACTGAGTGCAGTTGGTGGTGTTCTGGGCTCCTATTCGTCACTAAATCTACGCCTTTGTATGGGAACTGAAAACATCGTCCTATCAGAATTGAACTCGTCAAATCTTCGAAGGAAGTGTTTTGCTTTTAATAGCTCTAGAAATTTGAGAAAGAGCTCCAGCCGTAGAACTTTTGTAACTGTATCAGTAGTTTAAGCTCATAGTCCAACAGATCTTTCGCCTGTTACGATCACGTGGACAATAGAAAATGGTCGTGACGCGAAAAAAGGTATCACCAGGGGCTGAACAAGATGAAATACGATTTCTGATTTTGACGCCAGTGGTGATTAAGTGAGAGATCACTGGCTATTAAAATGGTTTTATATTCGGAAAAAAGCTGAACACGAAGTCATATTTGTCCTTCAAGGTGAAGTAACCGTAACTTAGCAGTTCAGCCGAAGAAGCTCAATTTGGTAATTCTGTAAGTTCCATAGCGTTCTTTCCATTACCGGGATCTATTTCTTACAACATGAACAACCATTTTATGATGGACAAGGCCATAAGATAAAGTCATGAAATAGAGATTTTCTGAAAAGTAGCTTTCTTCTGCACAAAGTTGTATTTATTAGATATGTGACGTGGGCTAAATGTTCTCTTAGGAGCGTATAATTGTTTAGGAATGGCCGTTGTAATTGAGCCTTTGCGCGTGCGTTTTACATGTTAACTAATTCCAGAATCAATGTAATTTGTATCTTTTACAAATTTCATGTAAATATCATATAATATATCAAATCGACTACAGGTACGGTTAAGGTGATGACTTAAAGCTGAAAATAAATTACTATACAATGATTAAACCAATTAGTTGTGCATGTAAATAGGATCAAGCAAAAAATTTAGAATAAAAAGGAAGGAGGGCTATAGAAGAAATTTTCTCATTTCTCACAAAATTCTACCACAACATGAAAATATCAAGTTAAATGTCTGCAACAACCAAGTCTTCCTTCCACGTTGAAGGCTATTTGTGTTGCTTTTGTTCCAGTATCTCATATATTCATAATTTTATCTTACTCCTGTCCTACTTTTTCAACAGAGGTCAGCTAAGTTGCCCTTGCAAATTAAAATGTATCACCCTAATCTCGGCCAGGGAGTAAAGTGCTTTTCAATGCTGTCATCCTGCTCAACCATAAATAAACAGTCTTATTAATTATTATCATCGATTGTTCTGTGGTCAGGAAAGAAAGATAAAGGTTTATACCAATGTGCCTATAATTGTATAGATCTTTCCATGAATTCCATAACATTTTCCTTTAATTTTTTAGTGGAAAACGATGCAACTTTTATTTTCCTTCGTTTTTCCTCCGATTGCGGTATAATTGTATAGATTTTGCCATGAATTCCATAACATTTTTCGTGGAAAATAACGCATCTTTTATTTTCCTTCATTTTGCCTCCGATTGCGGTAAATAACACCCAATGACATTCATTAGAGAAAATTACAAATAACATCCTGTGTCAGCGTTTCGTAGGTTGGACCTCGGTTGCAAAAAAAATGAAATGAAACAACGGGGCGAGAGGGGAAGAATTTCTCAGTTTTTTTTTTTTTTATGTTTTAACCGATTTTTCCGTGATTCCGGAGGGTTTTTGTCGAGTTTTCTTACCGCACTGCTTGGTTTTAGTACATTAACTTATGGCCGAGATAGTCAAAGGCGGTAAGCCACAGTGGTCGGGAGATCTTTTGAATGGGATAGATCAAATATTTGTTTGGTTTCAAATTATCATCTTAATTGATTGTATTGCAGAAGGGTGAGTCTACCAATTGAAACATTGCTTTTCAAATTTTATCTGTTGACAATTTTAGACCCTGCGTACGCCAGTGACCTATTCCTGTAATTAAACATAAGTTTTTCAAAAAATTATATTCTTTACCGGATGGCATTATGTCATTTCCTTGATTTCCTTTTCCTTCCAATGTTTGTATTGTAACGATGGTTAGCACAATAAAAACGTTTTATGTTTACAGATAAACATCCAGGCGCTGTATAAAGGTCAGTATGAATTGTGTCTGGTGCAAATTCGTTTATTCAGATTAGTCAACAATGTATTTTTGACGCTTTCCGATCTGCACAAATGATATAGCTAAGCATTCTTAAAATCAAGAGATGGGAAAAATATTTCAGATAACATTCTCACATCAACAGTCAGTCATTGGTATATCCGATAAGTGAGGAAAGCTCTAAATTGATATCTTTTTAAAAAGTTTCTCTCTTGTATCATTCTATTTTTCATTAAAATTTCACTCCTACTCATGGAGGGATCTGACTTATTTACCGATAAGAATTTTCCTATACTTCTATCTTAGATCCCGTCATAAATAATTGCGATAAAAAAAAGGAAAACAAATATTTGTTCTTGCTGTGTAAACGAACCCTATAATCACCCATGCAGACTCGCTTCAACAAATTCACTCCATGGTAGTCTAGCGATTCAGCTGAGCTTATGCTGATACTTTGGCCGTCTTGCGGCTCTGGAATCATTTCAGAAGCTATAGACCTTGACTGATGTGACTTATACACCCAGTAGCCGTTTGATAATGACGACAAGACGATGGATATAGTCTGTTTGAGCTGCTGAGCAGTAGCAAATGCTCTTAAATGACCCTGGTAGGATTTCATGTAAATCTTAAACAAGATATTAGCAAATCTTAGAAAACTACCCTGATCAAAGCCGGGAAAGAGGTATTTTAGGGCAAATTACAGATAGAAAAACTACAATTACTTCGTTGATCAATCATTCAGATTAAGAGCTCCATGTAAGAGGTCTGGAAATCGAAAATCGTACGAATCTCAGAGAAGCGAAAATTAGAGGGGGTCAAGCGATTTGGCATCGTTGACGTCTTCGGAAAAGACAATTCATTGTAGCTCACTTAAACCACTTGGGCTGAGTTGATGTTATAGGACACCCAAATACTTTTCTAGCTTTTGTTTTGTAGTAGAGATTGAGCCCAGTATGTTTTTTTGGAACTGCATTTGAGAAGAAAGCGATATTTTAAATTCTCAGCTTATCACAGAGATCGCGCCATGTTTGAAAATTTGGGCGAAATTCAACCCTTTTAAAACGTGTATGCTACTTACTAACATAATCGACATAACTTTCTCTTCATTTTTTTTTTCTATCGCAATAAAAAAATTGCGTGGGAGAGTAACGACAACAGGCAAAAAGTAGCTTGATCGAGTGGTGTGTCGATTCTCTGTTTGATTCCTTCTTCTGCCCTTTTTATTGATTGATTGACTAGATGATTGATGAATGCTTTTAAGATTTTTTTCTAAATGATTGTTTTTCTCCATTAATTGCTTTGTTGATCGATGATGCTTTAAGCTAAATATGTAAACAAAATAATACATTTTTTTGTTGTTATAACCTTGGCGACGTACAGCTTATGATATTCCAATGGATTTATATGGCATGTTTTTAAAAGAGCACATCGAATCGATGAAGTTTTTAAAGAAAATTTACTAATGGCATTTATTTTATTTATTTCCCATGTAACGTGGATCCAGAGGTTTTCTCCACAAAATCATCGAACAAAAAAAGCTAAGTCATTTTTACTTTCTTTCTCTCTCAAAATCACAGACATCAATTCACAAAAGGACTCACAATGGACTTCAACCAATGGAATATTATTTGGAGTATCTGCTTTGGAGCAATTGCCTTCATGATAATTATTGGAAACTGTCTCTCCATCATAATCCTTCTCAAGCGCAGGCTTCGCAAACGTCCGCATTACTTGCTGATAAGTTTAGCCATTGCGGACCTGTTGGTTGGTGTTTTTGCAATGCCTATTTACATGATCATCGTTATGTCTGGAAACAAATTTGTTACAGTGCTTGTTTTTGATTGTGTGGACATGTTCACTGGATTTTCGTCGGTGTTTACCTTGGTTTTAATTTCCATGGAAAGACTGAGTGCAATCGCGCAACCTTTGCGCCATCGACTGCTTACCTCACGAAGTTACATCTTTGCGCTGATATTACCGTGGATCCTGGCAGTAGCAGTGACGTCTTCTCGCCTGCTGCTACAGTTAGCCATCATAACAAAACAGCAGTTCCTGTGCATTATTATCTTGAGTTTATCGACCCCACTGTTCCTGTTGTGTCTGGCTTATTGCATCATTATGCATAAGGAAGCCTTACGACCACAACTAGGTTTCAGAGCAAGGAGCGAAGCCAGGCTGTCTAAGACAGTGTGCCTAATAACCGGCATGTTTATATTAACGTGGATGCCATTCCAAGTATTGGTCATCGTTATTCATAAATGCACTGTATGTAGCAAAAGCGTACCTGTGTCAGTGGTATTCTTAATTAAGCTTCTGCAGTTCAGCAATTCGGTCGTTAATTTCTTCATATATTGTCTTCGAATGCCAGTGTATCGAAGGGCATTGTCTGCATTGTTTCGGAGCTGCAATTGCTTTGTCTCCCAAACTCAAGTGCACCCTTTCTTTCGGCATCAAAACACTAATGTCACAATAATTTCCCTCTCGAGTTCGGTGTCTGTAAACCGCTGCAGGCAAGGACAAAGTGAAAACTCAGAAAGTATAATGGATACGCAAATCAATCAGATATAAATCTGTCTCGTTCGCATTGAATCTTAAGCTTAAAGAACAAATTCAAAGTGTACTCTCCCAAACGATTGACATTGCGTTTTTGAAAATTTGAAATAACTGCTTAATTTAATCGGATCTTAATTATCTGAAATTATTTGAAAAGCGGTATAGATGCTTTACAATGTAAAGTCAATCTGGTCATGGTTAGAATCTCAAGCTTCAGAAGTAATTAAGAGATAATGTTGACTTCCTCTTAATTTATTGAATTACACGTTATCGATCCAAAAAAAATGGCCTTTTTTCAGCAGGAGAGGAACTTTCTAGCGCATGACGTGAGTCTAATCTGTTTATCAGGTGAGCGAGTCAAAATCTAATTACTGGCACCCCCCTTAGTAGCTGGCGAAAATATTGACTTAGCTGATCGCGAATATTGACTTAGCACTTTTCTAAACAACTTCCAATACTTAAGTTCATTCCCGGCCTATTGCGTCAATCTTTTTAAAGTTGTTACAAGTCTGAACTGTCATGATAGCCTTCGTACAGCTGCCTTCAACCTTCAAAAATATTTATCTATTTGTATTTTTCTACTTCGAAGAGGACAATCTGTAATTAC